TTGAACCACCAGCCTTCTGGTCGGTTTGAACCACCAGCCTTCTGGTCAGCAGTCAAATAAATGCCTTAGGCACTACGCCACTAGAGCTCCTACAGCAATAATATAAAAGGATCATAGAAACTGCTCATGGTTTAAAGATAGCTTGTTACATCTGATTGAGAAGTATCATCTCTGAAGAAACTAAACAGTATTATTCAGAAATTATTTTTATTTTTTTTAACTTTTTATTGTGATTTCGGTGAAATTTTACAAAGCAGATTCATTTTACATTGAACAGTTCATACACATTTTGTTTTGTGACAATGATTACATTCCCTGCAGTCTAACAGCTCTCCTCCCACTTCCTCCCTGTGGTTACCCTTTGCAAGTATCCATTTTAACTGCTCATTTTCTCAAACATAAACCAAAACTTTAGAAATACACTGACAATTTATGCAACAAAAAATTTTAAGAGATTATTTTACCAAACAAATTTTCCTTGTAGAACAAACTCTATCACTCTTATGCATTGCGAAAGAAAGGAGGTATGTAACTCACTCCCTACTGGGGAAGGGGGAATGAAAGACCTCAACTACAGTCCCTAGCAGACATTCTAATGGCCTCAAACCATATGGTAGCCTTGTAAACTTATTACTAGCATTTAACTAGGAAAAAAATAATAATAATCAGTTGTCATCGATTCCAATTCCCCAAGACCCCAAGTGTTTCAGAGCAGAACTGCCCTCCATAGGGTTTTTTTGATGGCTGTGACCTTTAGGAAGCAGATCACCAGGCTTTTCCTCTGAACTGCCTAAGGGTAGGTTCAAACCACCAAACAGCGGTGAACCATTTGCACCACCTAGACACTACTATTAATTGTATTTATTGGCAGAAATGATGCATTTGAATTATGGTGCTGGCAAAGAATATTGAATATACCGTGGATTGCCAGAAGAACAAACATATCAGTCTTGGAAGAAGTACAACTAGAATTCTCTTTAGAAGTGAGGATGGCAAGACTTCATCTCATGGACTTTGGGCATATTATCAGAAGGGACCGACCCTGGGGAAGGGTATTGTGCTTGGTAAAGTAGAGGTCAGAGAAAAAGAGGAAGATGCTCTGTGACATGGAATGACACAGTGGCTGCAACAATGGGCTCAAATATAGCTAGCAATTGTAAGGATGGCACAGGGCCAGACAACGTTTTATCTGCTGTACACAGGGTCGCTATGAGTCAGAACCAACTAGACAGCACCTTAACAACAACAACTAGCAGAAAAATATCATAGTCTCTCCCTAAAATTGTTGCTAGC